TATCTTTGAAGCAGACGTCTGTATGGAAAATTCTAGAAGAAGATGAGTTTGGGAGGAGCCCAATCTTTTAACGAATGCTCGCTTGCACTTGGAGACAGTTTACAGTAAACCAAATCTTCATTGATGTTGTTGAAGCAGTGGAGTGTAAAACAACAGAGCACATTCAGTATGTGGTTTGGCAAAGACGTGCAGCTGTAAAGGAGTTTGTGTTGCGGAGGAAAGAAGGCTTTAGGGGTGAGGGGGGGTTCATCCTGTGAGACCAGCACAGGTGGTTAGGAGGGGGGTTGGTGTAATGGAGGGAGGGAATGGGGCTGCTGTGGGCGTGGAAGTGCAGTAATGTGCCCACTTCCTGCATCAAGCCTCTGCGCAGCACTGTAAAAACCATGAGGTTACAACAAGATCAGCACAATTTGCTGCTCTTGGCCTTTTTTTTCTCCAGTTAACAGCAGGCAGTCATGGCTGACTTTTTTCTAATCATAAAAACGAGGCGAAAAAAGGGAAAGATGAAGTTATACAGCGAGAGAAACCTGAAAATTGACACGATGAAACTGAAAACGTGATGTTCACCCTATGGACGCTGCTTCCACTAATAAGAAAGTAATTGAGTTCTTTTACTCCAGTTTATTTATTTATATTTATAGCACAAAATCCAACAAAAGTCACCTCAAGGCACTTTATATTGTAAAGACCCTACAGTAATACAGAGATGCACCAACAATCAGATGACCCCCTATGAGCAAGTGCTTGGCGAGAGTGAGAAGGAAGAATTCCCATTTAACAGGAAATTCCCTCAGAACAGAACCAGGTTCAGGAAAGGGTAGCCATCTGCCGCAGCCGTTTGGGGTCAAGGGAAGGAAGACAGGACAAAAGACACACCATGGAAGAGAGCTAGAAATTACAGTAATAACAACAACAAGTAGAAGATGTAGGTAGTTTTTCATTTTTATGTATTATGCAGACTAATATTTCTCTCTCTCTCTCTCTCTCTCTTTTTTACAATATAGTATTTGTCTGACAGCTTTGAGTTACTCGTATCTTTACAAGTCGAAATGTGTTGATTTTTACCTTTTTCCGATAACCAGAAAGATTAAATGTTTTTGTTATGGGTTCATTTTAGAGATGTGTTCATTTCACAGGGCAGCCAGGCTACAACACATACAAACTTATGATGTTAGTAAGATTAGGTTTGATTTAGGTTAAACTGGATAGTAAACTTCTTGTTCCTTTCCTAGTGTATCGTCATATACATTCTGTTATAATACTGATTGTTCATTTTAAAAGGCCAACATTTAAAAATATGGTAAATAAGTCAAAAACTCAGTTTTCAATATTCTTTACCAAGTTTTTAACACATGTGATGTCATAGAGCACCGACATCCCAAAAACAAATCATCTCAGGCACAGCAGCCCCACCCACCTGCTGTTCTGACTTTCTCTTTATGAGTCTCTACAAGCTAGTCTGAAGAACAATTCAACCCAAAATTCTTTGGCTTGAAAGGTTAATTACATTAATATCAGAGGTGGTAAAATAATTTGTTTTAGACTGGGGATGAACTGCAGGGCTGCACCAAAGCCCAGTGTAAGATAAAGGATGATTTACAACTATGAATCATGCAAAGCAAACCTGGTGGAGTCTGAGAAAATAAGAAAACATGCTAAAATTTCTTTTGTTCTGTTCTAATTTTGTAATTTAAAAAAAACCAATGCAAAAAATCATTATCACTCCCTACTTGTGACACAATATAATCCAGGGTAACTAGAGGAAATGACCTCAAAGTAAGCGGATGTCAACATCTGATAGTCTGCCGTTCCTCGTTCTTAAAAAGTTAAAAAAAAAAAAAGTCTAAAAAATAGTCTATGCGACATCCAGAAAAGTGAAATGGCAAATAAAAAAATTTCCACACGAGTATAAGCTCTGGTTAGTCTGTTCTCCAAGCCTCAGCCTCAATGACCCAAATTAATTTTAAACAAGCAAGGGAAACCAGAAGTGGGTATGATTTGAGTTCACGGTCAGTTCAGTGGTTGTCCACTTGTGTCTCCCCATGGTCTACAGTGAGTAAGCAGGCACCAGCTGTATACCTGCAGCAGTCACATGCTCCTGCCTGCAGTCCACCAGCCAGACTCTGTCATTAAGGACAGATGGCAAAAGGTCAGCCAGGCAGAGCTGTTCCACTGTTGAGTCACAACACAACATCGTCTTCATCAGTTCATCAGCATGTCAACACAACACAACACACATACCTGCCATTAAATGCTTCCCCACAGATTAAAAAAAATGGATATTATTCTTAATAAGAATATGTTCCTCTGTTTCTGGAAAGAGTTCATTTCGATGGTCAGACGTCACATAAATTTGTTTTGACTGGTTTCTTGCAGTCATGCAGTTTTGAAGCAACCATACCAGCTTGATTGTGTGTGTCTACGTGCCTAGGGCTTTTTGGTGTAAAAAAAAAAAATTCACTGTAATTCCTTTTACAGTTAATATCAATATATATAGCAATATGAATCAAATGACTGTTTCTGCGCAGCGCAAATGTTCCTTTTTACCCCTGACACGTGAAAATATGAGTTCAGTATGAGTTCGTTAATAAGGATTTTTTAATTTTTTAGTTTTTAATTTATATATTTTTTAGCATTGATTTGTTGAGCACATCAACAGTATATGCTGTTCTCTTTCCATTTGTATTAAATTAATGTAAATGATGATTTTTAAAAACTTTTTTAATTGAGTTTGTCAACACTTTGTGCCATCTTCTAGTTGCACACATTTATGTGAAATGCTGCGTGTTCGTGTGTTACTTACATTTTTAGTCTAATTTAATATTGACATATTTTCTTTGGTGCTCCTATGTCTTCTCCTGACTAATCCTGGTCAGATGTTCAGTCCTTTTGTCTTTATTGAATATCATTATTTTACGCAATGACTAGAGAATAATAATATCAATTAAACGACATATAGATCCTGGCGGCTTTTCAGTTCTGCAGATGTTTCTTTCCAGCTTTTCAGAGGTTAAGTGAGAGGCAAAACTCAGGGGAGCCCTAATGGAGACAGTGCTGCACGTTTTTAAAGTTACATAGATTTTCCCATGAAAAGCAGAGAAGATGTCTGAGAAACAAAAGTAGAGGACAGAGTAACTGTGGGATAGTGAGAGCAGCTGAATGAAAGGCTGTACAGCAGTTAGCAATTTAGATGGATTATAGTAACAAACTGGCTAATCTCTCGTTCTCTGCTCTGTGCACAATCATTATCATATTTATGTGACAAACACACTTGGCCATGCTAAGAAAAAAAGTTTTCTCAATTGATGTGAAAGTGAAAGTGAAAAATTTCACAGGCACGGTGCCTTTAACTCTTACAGCCAGGACATTACCATTTAACACAGCCAGTGGGTTTTAGCAGCTGTGTGATGGCAGCAATGTGACTCTGGTTAGTTTGTAATGTGACATTATCAAAGAGTCAGAAATCCTCTTCTTCCCATCAGTTTGCCAGGGTTTGGCACGTTATTCGAAGATCTCAGAACTATTATATGTGATTGCAGCTAATGAGTAGTTTTACTATCAGTACAGTTGTATTATTTTATTAAAATTAAAAAGCAATAGGAATTAGTGTTTGTTAAATGAAATTATATAATATGAAATGTTTAATAGTAAAACCAGATAAAATAATGAAATAATGAAGGATGCAATATTAAAATGCTGTGCTGGTGGCATAAAACCACTGCAGTATAAAAACAAACATGTACTGTTTTTAATGATGTGAAGCAAAACAGAAAATTCTGAATCAAGATTTTTTTTTAAAATTTTAAACATTGTAAAACATGTATTGTGGAAATGGGGGTGAACCAATTTTTGCAGTATTTGTCATGCAGATTATTATCTACCTGTTGGCAAAAGGGGTGAAATTTTGCAATTTTACTGAATTTGCGCAGCATGATGAAGAGCTGAAAGACTCTTCTTAAAGATGTTTTTTTTTCCTGGCACAAATGAAAGCACAGCAAGAGCAGAACAAACATAAAACCTGGAGTGATTATTAAATAGCCAAACCAAAGGCTGAAAATCCGTACACTTTAATTAATGATTAAATATTTGAGGAAACTGCTTACTTTTTTTAAAAAAAATCTGTGAGCTGCTATTATTTTCTCAGCATTAGTAAAATAGGGATTTCATGTAGTTTACGTAACCGAGGTTTTACATCAGTCAGGCAGAAAAAAAATAGAAATATATGATTTGTTTGTGTACTTTGCCCTGTGAGACCCAACCCATCAAAAATAGCCAGAAAATTCAGATTTTGGGGAACTGAGATGTTTATTAACCCGTATAACAAAATCCACAAATTTTTTGCTATATCATGTTGTGTATGATATATTTTTGTTATATATTTATTATATATTTTTTGTATCGCTTTTTTGGCGACATTGACATTGGAAGTTTTTGGCAACTTTTTGTTAACAACAATGTTAATTTTAGACCAAAAAAAGAGTTTTGTCCTTAACATTTTGGAATTATGGCAAGTATTTATCACGTTGATGAGATAGAGGTCTCAGAAATTCATGTATCAAATATGATACAAAGGGGATTACAGGGTTAAGCGCTTTGCCCAAATAGTAATGAAAGGAAAAATCAAAAGTTCCATTTGTTCATCACCTAAAGGTTTTCCTGTTTGTGGTTTAATTTGTAAGAGTACGCTTTCTTTTACTTTGATTTTTGCAATAAATATTGTTTATTATTATAAATCCTGAAAAACTAAACTTGTGCTTAATTAACAGATTTCTTGACTTCTCTTGAATTTTCTCGTATTAAAACAGGGTTTTTTTTTTTTGCAACATTCTAAAAAAAGCTTTCTTGTAAATGTGCCATTGTGTCCAACATTTTGTGAATAGTCTCTGTTTCTGTAATCTTTGTATCTGAAGTGTGTGTGACGTGACAATGGTGCACATGTTTGCGTAGAAAGAAAAAATGAGTAATTGTGGATGATAGGAGGGTCTGTCTTCATGCTGCAGGGACGCCCTCCCCACGCTCCACCAACCTGCCAATCATCTCTCTGACCTCGCACCTTTCTAACTGATAGTGATGTAGATGTGTCCGTCTGCTGCTCGTGGATAAATGATCACTAATCAGCCAAAGAAGATGAAGGACAATTTTGTAAGTAGAACTGTTAACATACACGCTCACCTTTTGTTTTTATATGTCAAAACATGATTTTCTGCTGGCAGGAAGGCTGTTTTTTCCTGTTGTGGTTAAGCTGCTGAAGCCGAGGCAAACATTTGTCATAGTGATACACACAAAAACAAAACTTCAGGCGGAGCTGTTTTGTAGTTGTTTATGTTTACTTCCTACCTTTTTTATATTCAATAGATCATTTAGAGTCTCAAAAGCAAAAAGAAACACAACAAAAACATACGTCTAGCCCTTGAACACAGAGTTTTTGGACTCAAAAACCGAAAACCTTGCTTTAAATCAGACCATTCAGAAAGGCTTACGAACTGCCTTGACGTTCTCAAACAAGAAAACCACACGGTTCAAATCTAATAAATTCTTTACAATGTTCATATTTCCATTTATAACAAACTATTGCAAAGGAAATGCAGCTTCCTTCTCTGACTTCCTTTGCAGGTGGTAGAGTAGCAGCTGTAGAAGATTTAATATTCAGTGATAATTAATCCAACTTTTTCTCCTGTGCTGGAGTCGGTCTTTCAACGATCGTTATGATCACTCCGGTTATAAAATAAGTCAAAGAAACCTCTACTTTAACCTTGTTCGCGCAAATTTGATTTATGTCCAATTTCCCTCTCAATACATACTTGTTAGAAGGGAAACGGTAACTCTGAAGTGACATGTTGCAGCTCTCACGTGCTTTGCGTATGAACATAAAGACGGAACAATTATGCCGGTTTTTCTTCACAATCTTCAAGCAAATGCAAAGGTGTTCTTGGAGTGTCATTGGTTAGTGTAAATGGTGGCATTAAAGCTGCTATAGTAATAGTACAGACTGTCAGAGGGCTCAGCCCAGACCACGTGGAGCTCTGGCATCTGTTTCACACCCTGAGAATACTTTTACTTTTGGCAGCAGTGACATGCTTCCCTGGCCTGGACCTCCTGCTGTAAATCATTTGACGATGAAAATCTAGCTAAAATAAGTGCACTCTGTATCCTTAGTACTGCTTCCTTATGTTTCTATAGCGCAACATACCTAACCCCAAACTACGTCCTATATCGACATACCGCCAAATTGAGTGGTAGTTCACAGCCATCACTCTGTATGACTGGGTGAATGAGGCAATGCTGGATAAATCTTTTTTTTTTTTTTACAAATTCCAGCCACTGAGGCATTATTACCTGCAAGATATGATGCAGTAGTTTGTGCTGTCCTTTGCAGAAAAACACAAGCCACGCCGGGTTTGAACCTCGTTCAAACTCCAGCTTGGGTTGCAGTTCAAAGATATGCATGTCATTCAGTAATTCTAAACTGGCCATGGACGTGAGGTACGCAAAGTACTAGTAAAAACTGAGTGGTTCAAAAGAATAGAAAAGTGCTATACCCTAACCCTCTACTAATGTCATTCTGTACTCTAATGGCTCAAGTCTTAGCATTCAGAAAAGAGAAAGTAAAGATAACTGACAGACATGAAAAACATATTTTCTTAGGATTTTTTCTTTTCTTTTGTTGTGTGTGTGTGTGTGTGTGTGTGTGTAACTTTATTTCAGACAGCTTAAGTTATCGTTAGTGATTTTTTAAAGATGGCTGTATATTGTGGTTTTGTTAGTGTGTTTTCCCAATGGTAGCCTGATCTATACCAATTGGAAGGTCGGTGGATTGATCATATTCTTGGGTCAGATACTGAACCCAGAGTCTCTTGCGAGATCCATCCATAAGAGTTTGAGTTTCTATGTGAATACTAGAAAGCACTTAGGCATGGATAAACACACTTTATGTAACTAGCTGAATGAGACGTGCACTATAAAGCAATTCTCAACTGTAAAAGTACCATATATACTTTTGAACCTTACGCTACTCTGTAACAAACAGTGCCGAGGTCACATCTGGATCTAACACAATTAGATTAGCTTCCTTACCCCTCTGCAATGCACTTCTGACTCAGCAGATGTTTCACAGCAGGCATTTTGACTTGTCACAGCAGTTCAAGGCGCAGTTGTGCGTTTACTACTACGCTACATTAAAACTAAAGGTGCTCCTTTCAGCTGGATTTGTTCCAAAGTCCTAAATGTGTGCTACCATTTTCCCTGTAGGTCCAAATGTCTAGCACGCAAAAAGGAGGAAGACTAATACAAACTGAACTGCACAATCTTTGCAAAGGTCAAGTGTCATAAAATGAGCTACAGCTGAAACAGCTTCAAGGATACGTCAGTGCTGTTCCACAGGGTTTTAACTTAATGTAAAATTGGGATGGTGCTTTTTTCTCAACTGCAGCAACACGTTTCCAACCCTAACTCTAAACCTGACCGCCTTACCCCAACCAGAGACCCTTGCAACACTATTTGGAAAATCCATGCACTAAATCTAAAATGCAGTTCATCCTTAATATGGGAAAACATGTCATAACAATTGATATTTTAGCTGCCATAGCCAGTTCTAATCCAGATACAAAGTTTTGTCATGCATGTGTTTTACAAAGCAGTAGTAATCCCAGCTAGTAATTCACACATGACCCATGTCTGGGCTTTAAGTGCCACAACTTGCTGCCCGGGTTTGTGTGAGGCCCCTCTGAAGTATCTGCACTCAACTGTACAGCCCTGTCTGCTTCCAGTGATGCACCTCCCCATCCCCAGCCTGGCACTACGAGTGAAAGAGGCTATTGTTCCTAACACTCTGAGGCATGTAGCATGCACTTATGACACCAAGTGGGAGAAATTGTTCCCATTATACCCCTGGAATGTCTTTGAATCAATCAAGTTTGTATGAATACATGCTGCTCTTTAGCAGTTACAAAGAAATGGTGCCTATTTAAATGGTGAGATTAACAAAAGGCAACTTTTTCTGTGCAAAAACTATTATAAAGAAAACAGTAGTGCAACTTTTGAATCAAAAGCAAAACCCTGTTTAATCTCCCTCTTCGTGGACCATTTTTCATCCATACCCTGACCTGGAGCAAAGACCACATTCAGATATTCTGAATTAAGATGACTAGTAACATTGTACAAGAAAACAATTGATATTTGGGCATTCTTTCTCCTGAATTCCCTCCTTTTCTTACTAAGCTTTAGTGATGTGTATCAAAGCACAGCTGGGAAAATTTGCTGCTCCGCTCATGGATATTTCTGTGAAGATGTAATTGGTTTTTTTTTTTAGTAGTATGGCTGTGCAGTGGAATTCAAAACAGAAAGTAGAGTTCTCAGTTTTCTCAGGCAGATCATTTATTCTCCACATACCATGAGGCTCTAAATCCTCAAAACGGAGCATTCTTGGCTTTGACCTGCGTGAGAACGTTTGATTCTGCTAGTGGTGCAAAAAACAATAAGAACAGCAAAACCATTTCAAAAAAATCTTAGGACACTTCACTACAGTTACTCAAAGGCTACGTTTACACTGCAGGTGAAAGCGCATCAAATCCAACTTTTTTGACCCGATCCCATATTTTCAAATCCGACCCAAGTCACTTTCATATGTGGTACTGAATCCGATACATAGCTGATGTTTTAGAAAGCGACTGCTGTTTAAATGGTCATATCGCATTAAATCAGTCTTTTACGTTACTGACACAAGACAGACCCCAATTATCAGCGCCCGAGAAGACATCGTGAACGCTTCCTGGCATCCAGTGAAACTGTTGGGAAGACAACGTTGGAGAAACGTGAACATTTTATTTGTACTGTATAATCTGCAGATTCTCACAGAAATCTGCAACTATCCTTTGAAGCACCGCTCCTCTCTAAAACAGCAATAAGGATAATTATTAGGACATATATAAATAACAAAATAACTTTATAACTTAAAGCAAAATTGGGAAACGTAAAGTCCGAAACAAGTCTTTATATTAAGGGCCATCAGTCAAACAATACTGTTTGCTCTGGGTCTAAACAGAGGCGTTGTGTGTGACGTCTTCTTTTGCGCATGCGGGCCGCTTTGAGGGTTCACACTAGAACGTGTTTGCTGTCACATTTTATTTGTAGTGTGAACAAGCAGACAAAAAAAATCGGATTTGATCAAAAAATCTGAATTGAGCATTAAGACCTGCAGTGTGAACGTAGCCAAAGTGTAAACCAAGAGCACTATGCAGGGGTCATGAAATACAGCTCTATTTCCGTCAGCAGGCTATTTTTAACCCTGCTGTATCATGTATCCCTTCTTGCCATTTTGTTCCTTTGTTGAGTTGGGAGGGATAGCATGGCAGGCTAGGTAAGGTAGAACCTCTGTTTGTGTGTGTGTGTGAGGGAGAGATGTGATCTGTTGCACGGGTTGAAAATGTTCTGTCACTAACTCATTAGCCTGATCTGCCTATGTTGGTTCTTACTGCTTTCACTGCATCTGCATTTGTGGTCTTTGATAGGATCCAGATGTCTGTCTGGAACACAATACAGTCCTTGTACAAGCTTTACATACGGCCATACATATAGCAAATAGAAGAAATACTGAAGAGCAACCCATATAATGTGTCAGTTTAATTCATTTATAAATGCTTCAAAAGTTACCAACTCACTCATGTGCGATGCTGAGTGCATTATTGGTGGCAGTCTAGGCCTATTGTATTGGTAACTCACCGAGGGGTCAGGGTCACCTAATTCAGCCCTACCAGATAAGCCTTATCAAAAAAGAAAGTTTTAATCCTAATCTTAAAAGTAGAGAGGGTGTCTATCTCTCCCATAACCAAACTGGGAGCTGGTTCCACAGAAAAGGGGCCAGAAAGCTGAAGGCTCTGTCTCTACTTCTAAATACCCTAAGAACCAGAAGTTAACCAGCAGTTGGAGAGCATAATGCTCTATTGGCATGATATGGGACTATGAGGTCTTTAAGATAAGATTTATCCAAACTTTAAATTCAGCTCTGAATTTAAAAGAGAGCCAATGAAGAGAAGCTAATATGGGAGAAATATCATCTCTCATAGGGTTCACTGTCAGAGGCCCTAAGAAAATCATCCGTAACCTTCTCTAGTGCTGTTTCTGAATGGTGATAAATTCTGAATCCT